GAAGAAGAAGAAGAAGAAGAAGAAGAAGAAGAAGAAGAAGAAGAAGAAGAAGAAGAAGAAGAAGAAGAAGAAGAAGAAGAAGAAGAAGAAGAAGAAGAAGAAGAAGAAGAAGAAGAAGAAGAAGAAGAAGAAGAAGAAGAAGAAGAAGAAGAAGAAGAAGAAGAAGAAGAAGAAGAAGAAGAAGAAGAAGAAGAACTAAGAATGTAATTAAAATCTTGTCCAGACACAAGATTTTATTAGGATGGTACTACGGGGACTTCTGCCACCCAGTTCCTCTACTGTAATTTAATAGCCAAAGCACATGAAGAAGTCTGTCTGGTCTCTCCCATTGTTGACTGAATATTGTGGTTAATTAAAGTTTACCTGGACTGGTGCACTGGTGGAAAGATGAGCCACATCTCCAATTCTGGCTGCAGCACGGGGGTCACTTGAACTTATCAGGACAGGAGCACTAATCTCCATGGAATGCCTATTATTCAAGGCCTGGGACGACTTGTGAGTCATACTGAGAGCAGTGAAGGAGTGGCGCTTCTTGGCATTCTTCTTGCCATCAATATGTCGCTGAATGGCACTGACTGCCCCAGCACTGTTCAGTGTACAGCACTGGACTGTGCTTACTGCCAGGTTAGTGTCAACTGGCAAAGGGACATCACTGCCAGATGCAGCAGCTACATTGGTCTTGTCCATCTCAATAAGCTGCTTAGCTGATTCATTGAGCTAAAAGAAGAAATAAAAAAGGAGGCATTACAAAGGTGTTATCTTTGAGTATCTATAGAGTTCAAAGTCCATCATCAAATGAGAGTATAAAGAATAGAAGCCAATCAGAATAAGAATGAAATGTTGCTAGTACTTTAACTTACACATATCAATGTAATGTTTTTTTCAGTTCACTTAAGTTCAACTAGAACTTACTGTTAATTAAATGTATACGAGACTAACAAAATTCTCTCTTTTAGAAGCAGAGTACAAAACACAATGAACAGTGGCTATGCTATTGAATTAAAAATAAAATAAAAATATTCTGTTACATAGATGTTTCGTTAAAACAGAAGCCAATTCCTTCCATGTAGTTTGTTCAATGATCTAAAATCCCACTGATGAATTAGTCTTCTATTGAGAAGCTGAAGTTATTATTTACTGATTTAGAGCAGCCCTATCATGTAGGCATTAATGCCATACAGTGAGAAAGAGAAGGGAGCATTACAGAGCGGTAACTCTATTGCAGTGCAAAATTTACAATTACATCACTGTAATGAGACATTATTCCATGCAAATCCTAAAAATACAAAGATATATATAAAAAAGAAGACTTCCTTCTTTCCTTCCTTTTTTCCTCCCTCCCTCTTTTGTAAATCTAGTAAGAAAAAAATATTTGGGTCATTCTCTTAGATTATTAGTATTTTCCTTTTAATTTTAAAGCCACAACTTTAAAAGCCACAACTTTAAAAGCCAATTTCATTTGTAGATCCAGTGAAATATCCTTTTCCCCAAACCATGTTGGTTCAAAATTTGGTGGTCCTTACAGTTCATGTTTTAAGGAACAGATGACAACTGTGTCCAGGCCTTTGCACAAATCCATTTTGTATGAAAATTTGCATGTTCCTAGATTGGGAAGCTTTGTTCATGGTTATTCATATCTTAATCATTTCCAGGTAGACTATTGCAATACATGTAGTCCTCGACTGACGACAACAATTGAGCTCAAAAGTTCTATTGTTAAGCGAGACATTTAATGAGTTTTACCCTATTTTATGACTTTTCTTACAGCAATTGTTAAGTGAATCATTGCAGTTGATAAGTTAGTAACACAGTTGTGAAGTGAATCTGGCTTTCCCGTTGAATTTGCTTGTCAGGTTGCAAAAGTTGATCATGTGACCTTGGGACACAGCAATGGTCATATGTATGAACCAGTTGCCAAGCGTTTGAATTTTGATCACATGACCATGGGGATGCTACAAAAATCGTAAGTGTGAAAAATGATCATAAATCACTTTTTTCAGTGCCACTGTAACTCTGAATGGTCACTAAATGAATTATTGTAAGTTGAGGACTATCTATCCATTATTCTTTATGTATTATGCATTATTCTAGAATGCAGTGATACATCTATTGTTACTGCCTGTTTAATTATAGTTTTTTTCATCATAGTTATTTTAGTTGTTACAGGTAGTCCTCGACTTGCAACAGTTCATTTAGTCAAACCAGTCAAAGTTACAGCAGCTCTAAAAAAAATGACCTGTGACCATTTTCCACACTTATGACCGTTGCAGCATCCCCATGGTCATGTGATCAAAACTGGGAGGCTTGACAACTGAATTGATTGATTGAACTTTTTTTTTTAGTCCCACAAACTTCTTTTGTTTGTGAGACTGCTCATGGTGGCGGAGGAAGTGACAGAAGACCATGTCAGAGCTGGAAAGAAGGTGTCACATGGGTCTGATCTGGGCAGGAAGGGGGGACGTTTCTGCCACACATCAACCGATTCTCCAACTCAAAAGAAATTAGCTACCAGTTCTACCGAACCGGTGCGAACTGGCTGAATCTCACCACTGATCAAGAGTATATAGTGTAATGCTTACAGACCTTATTTCAGGAAAATAATAAGTACAATTAATTGGCTTTAATATATTAATTTCCTGTTAGATTGTGATAGTGTATAAAAACACAAATTCTTTGCTAGTTCACCCACTAGGTGAGATTTACTTCTCTTTTAAGAGCTGAGAAAAGATTATTTATCTCAAAAAGAGAATTATCCATTTTTATACTTACCCAATATTTTTATTTTTATATTTACTTGAGTACTTTGATGCTATGTTCAATACTCCTGCATATACTTTTTAATTTTTACATTCTTATATTTGTAGAAATTCTGACATAACCATTATTTTCTTCAACATAGAACAATATGTATTTACTATGATCTTTATGTATAGCCTCTCTGGTATTTACTATTAATCCCCTGAAAAGTGAACAAGGGTTTTTTTTCCCCTTCCCTAGAGCAAATATAATATTTGAACAGGAAGTGTTACAGTTAATACTTTACCTAAGTAGAAACCTGGATTTTTTTGTGTGGAGAATATCCCTCAACAATACTATTTTCTATGAATATATACTATTGAATAATATTCCTTTAATTCTATATATGACAGGTTGTAGACATTTAGGGGAGACATAAAATACTTGAGCAGACTATTAAATTCCTTCACCTTAAACTACCACAACAAAACATATCTTGACATTGCTGAGATGTGATTTACTCACAGCTAGTATAATCCAGCTATTTCAAAGTGTTTATAATATAGTCCAGTGATCTCATTTTGGGATTTATAGGATTAATTTAGTTGAATCTTCTGTGTGAATACTAAGCTTTGTTGGCAGTCCCAATGTACAATTTATCATTGTAAATAATCTTTTTTTAAAAAAGAAAAATGCTGGTAAAATACAACAAATATTTTCCTAATTCTACCCTTTAATATAAATTTCACATTACCCTATTGATATTACTCCATTTTTGAACAATAATTAGTGTTCAGCATTGAATATTGTGAATATGAGTAGAACAACTAAGCCTTATCAGAATATTTTGTACATGGCATGTGTGTTAAAAATCCAATGCACCCAAGTTGATAGACACTTCTTTGCAAATCTGCATGTTGGATCCAGTCATATTGCCTTGCACATGGCTCAAAAAATTTTTCCTTTACTAATGGATTTCTATTTTGTGGCTGTGACCATTGTACAGCTTGGAGAAGTTATTCAAAAGCAGATTGTGACATTTATGAGCTACACTGCCAATGAGAGAATGCCTAAGTAAACATTGGGCATTGTTTGTGGTTCAATGAAAAGAGCTGAAGGTTAGGTAAAATTGAAAAAAATTTCAGACTTATTAAATATTTCTACTCCTGGATAATAGGAATCCTCTCTCTAGGTTTCTTAAAATCAAATCTCTTAAAGTCCAAGACTCTAGTCTGACTTTATTCCTTGTGCTTGCCTTATGTTGAATTTCAATATTGCATGGTGATTCCCCCCTGCCCCACTCCAAGTTATTTTATAACAGCAGTCCCAGAATGTATAAGTGTTTTTTTAAGCAATAAAAGTTTTAATGAAAACTTTTCAAGAGAATATGGCCTTGTAAGAAAATAATGTGTATATGTTACATTTCTCTTTCATTTCCCAGAATGTTATACTTTATGCCTCTTTCCAAGCATCTTTGATGGTACGGAAGGTGCACTATGGGAAATGATCCTTGAAAATTTCAGTTTCTTCCCCAGATCTTAAAAGAACCAAAATATGAACTAGGAACTGAATCTTAAAATGTTTGTGAAGTTCCTCCTTTCATAATGACATTATAGAGAGCCAAAACAAGTTAGAATGAATAGTAGACTTCACACCTTAATTCTCAGAATATTTTTGACTGAACAATCCCCTGAATATTTCTTTAGAATAATTAGTTTAGTCCTAGTGCATTGATTAACAGGAGCACAACAGCCAAGAGAATTCCCACTGTGTATCATTTAATCAAATAAACTGCCTGCATCTAACATTATGGGTATAGAATATCATCAGCCATTACACCACCATAAGCAGTCAATGTTTCAATAACAGTTGCTAAAACATAATTTAAAAAATTATAGCTGTTGTCACTGAAGAATTTATATCCAAGGTATTTTGCATAATATTGAATACTGTACTGCTGTTGTGAATATGCAGACAGCTGTTTTATTTTTTAATTTTCCTTCAGGTCTTTCAAAGAGAGTGGTGACTTATTCTGAAGGATGGGTTACAACAGTGGGAAGGACTTATTTTGAGAGATTTATTTACATATTATTACATTTAACTGTCATGTTATGAGATAAAGGCTGTGCATGTAGGTTTTCCACTCATTTTATCCTTATAATAATCCTATGAGTTAGAGGGATTGGCCTTAAATTACCTTATATAACATAAATGAATCATGATTTGATCTCCCTACTCCACTCCAACATCTTAACCCTTTTACTACATATGTTGTGATTCACAATCAACAAAATTGTTGTTTCAGTATAATAAATCTAAACATAGGTAGTACATTCATTAAGAAACCCTTACTATTGATGTCAGAAACTGGGACATAATTAACTTGTGACAAACTATCCATTTTATCTGTCACATTTCATTGTTACATACAAGTTTCCTTATGCAGTGTAGAAATAAAGTGGAGTGGGAATTATGCATGCAGTTTGGCTAAATTTTATGATCCATATTGGCATAAGATACCAGTGAAAGTCGAGACCCTGCAATGTGAATTAGGGGTTCCACAAGCTGCAGAACTATCAGGTGCAACCAGTCATATATTACATTTGTAGCTTTGATTTATAGGCAAAGGCTGCTATGAAAAAGAATTTTCCTGGAGAAGCTCATTTTAAATAAATCATTCCATTAGAGGATTAGCTTGGTTAGCAATTTGTGCCTTCAAAAAGCAGCAACTACCTGGATTAAAGGGGAAGAATTCAGTATAGTAGACATTCATAGAAATGGAAAACAGCAGAGAAAAAAAGTACATTTTCAAGCAAGTGTGAATTCAATTCTATAGTAACTGAAGGTAAAATTTCAAACTGAACTTTTGTCTTTGTTGACTTGTATTTCTCAAAATGATCAACTAAATTGGGCTGTATATTTTTCACAGAAAAATTTCTGACAGTTTTTAAAAGTGCATTTGTGGTGACAGTGCTATTTGTCTCTGTGTGTTCATCTCAAGGCAACAGAAAAATCCTGCACTTTGTGTTCACCATCAAAAGAATTATATCAATTTCACCGTAAAAAAATCAAATGATAAAAATTAAGCTTTTTCTCTCAACAAAGAAGTACAAAAGTAATCTGAGTTTACCTCCACATACAGAATAGGGAATATTCCAATTTTATCACCCAGCATTCCTTCCGCCCAATTATCATCTACTCTTCGGATGACAGTCAAAATTTCATCCTAAAAAATGATAGATAATACACAAAATAAAAATAAGATTTTTAAAAAATATTTCTGTTTCAAAGGAAGTGGGGAGAAAAAAAATAATTTCTTTAAATATATCTCACAAACTTCTCACAAAGTAAAGCAAAAGCAAATATTCTAGGAAGCAAATTATTTTTATCAGAATAAGATATAACTAGTTACACATTTTCCAACTTCTTAAAAGACTACAGTACAAATTAATGTTTTAAATTGCACTTAGCCATTGTTAAAAAAAAGCATGAAATCATTTGGTGCTATCTTGATTTGTTTGTAATTTTTTTAATTCCAATTATATTTCCATTTCAGCATTGTATGTGTATATGCGTTCAGGATGAGAGCAACAGACAGTTTATTTCTGGTACTCAAGATTAATTTCAAAGTACATGCTTTCCAAACTTGACTCTTGTTCAAAGAACCTGATTTTCAAATAAAAACAATATAGATCCCCAAATCCTAAAGCCTGCTCATTCTTGCAAAGAATGCAATTTATCTCATGAAATGTGCTCATATGATTTATGTTAACTCTTTTACTTCTGCTATATAAAGTGTTTCTTTTTTAATTTCCTCAATTTCCTTTTTCAGCTGTAATAATTACCCATTTCATACACTAATTATTACAATGGAAAAAGAATAACACGTTTCCTTTTATTGACAAAATCTGGCTTTTCAAATTGGCCGAAATGTTTTGTCATTCCACTAAGTGAAGACTGATGAGGGATGGCTGAAATATTTTTTTATGTATTTCCACATAGTAAAATTTAATTTTCATACGTTTTGTAGTCTGATTACTGAGTTTTTCAAATAAGCTGCTTTGAGTATTTCCTGATTTGGTGGCTCTATAGAGCCCAATACGTATAGCCAAATGAAGAAAGAAATATCAGCTCTGTTACCATTTTAAATCTGCACTGAAGCATCTGCTTACAGAAAAATTCCAAAAAAACTAGAACTAAAAATATTAAATTCGGAGTTCAGGGAATTTGAAATCCATAAAAATCTACTGACAGAAAATGACAAAGATACTATGTAACACAAAAGAAAGACAGATGTTATACTGGACTGAATTACCATTACAAACAATATACTCGAACTCTATTGTCCATAGTACAGAAGCTGGTTTAGTTGTTTCTGCTTCTACATGTGTTCTTTGGCTGCTGGGCTCCTATGTGTTCTGAACTTGACATTTTAAAACAAGTATCTGAGGGCAGTTGGCTGGCTCCCTGCCATTCTCACAGAGGCTAAATGCTGCCTGCTCCTTACAGATCCTCTTTTTCTTATAGGCTTTCCCCAATACTTTTTCTTCTCCATCTGCCTAGATGTGATGAATATTAGGGCTGCACATGACCACAGATTTGAAGGCAGAAAGAAGCAGGGACAACCCATGTCTGTAGTTCTTATAAACAGCAGACATACTTTCATGCAACTACACTGCAACTCTTGGGAGATGGTGCAGCTTCTTTATTCTTCCCATATCTTTCAAGAATCCTGGAGCAACCTGGAACTACCTGAGGATTGGAAAAGAGCTGATGTGGTTCAAAAAAGGGAAAAAAAGAGACCCAGGAAACTACAGACCAATCAGCCTAACATCAATACCTGGGAAGATACTGGAAAAGATAATAAAAAACAGATCTGCGAACATCTAGAAACAAATAGTTATAACTAGAAGTTAGCATGGGTTTGTTAAAAACAGATCACGCCAAACCAATCTTATTTCATTCTTTGACAAAGTGACTAAATTATTAGACCAATTAAATGCTGTGGACTAGTATACTTAGATTTCATTAAAGCATTTGACAAAGTAGACCACAACCTACTTCTTGATAAGCTAGAAAAAAGTGGGAAAGATAGCATCGCTATCAGATGGATTTGTACCTGGCTGACAAACCGTACTCAACAAGTAGTCCTTAATGGTACTACATCTACATGGAAAGAAGTAACCAGTGTAGTACCACAAGGTTCCGTCTTAGGCCCAGTAGTTTTCAATAAATTCATAAATGACTTAGATGAGGGAATAGAAGGGGAACTTATCAAATTTGCAGATGATACTAAGTTGGCAGGAATAGCCAACACCCTAGATCAGGGGTGTCAAACTGCCGGCCCATGGGCCGGACGTGTCACCAGGAAACCTCACCCATCCCATTGCCGGCAATGGAGAAAAAGCTCTGATACATCTTGCAACGTCACGTGATGTCATGAGTTTGACATGTCTGCCCTAGATGATAGCCTCAAGATCCGGATGGATCTCAACAGACTTGAACACTGAGAAATTCAACGTAGAGAAAAGTAAAGTCTTACACTTAGGCTAGAAAAACCAAAAGTACACATACAGATTAGGTGAAACCTGACTTAATAGTAGTAACTGTGAGAGGGATCTTGCAGTCCTAGTGGACAATCAATTAAATATGAGCCAGCAATGTGCGGCAGCAGCTAACAAACCCAATGCAATCCTAAGTTGCAGTTAACAGAGGGACTGAATCAAGATCACATGAGGTACTAATACCACTCTATAAAGTCTTAGTAAGACCACACGTAGAATACTGCATTCACTTTTGGTCACCACACTATAAAAAGATGTTGAGAGTCTAGAAAGAGTGCAGAGAAGAGCAACACAGATGTTAGGGGCCTGGAGGCTAAAACACATGAAGAACGGTTGCAAGAACTGAGCATGGCTAGTCTAGTGAAAAGAAGGACCAGGGTGACATGATAGCAATGTTCCAATATTTGAGGGGCTGTCACAGAGAGGAGGGGAACAATGTATTTTCCAAAGTACCCGAAGGCCAGACAAGGAGCAATGGATGGAAACTGATGAAGGAAAGATTCAACCTAGAAATAAGGAGAAATTTTCTGACAGTGAGAACAATCAAACAATGGAACAGCTTGCCTTCAGAAGTTGTGGGTGCTTCATCACTGGAGGCTTTCAAGAAGAGACTGGACAGCCACTTTGCAGAAATGGTATAGTGTCTCTTGCTTGAGCAGGGGGTTGAACAAGATGACCTACAAGGTCTCTTCCAACTCTATTATTCTGTATTCTGAATCAGCTTTTTGCTTTCAAATTCAGAATACTATCCAACCCTAATGAATATAATACAGTGAAGCCTCAATTTAACAGATTGCCCATTTGGCAGACTTCTGATGCAACAGACCACATGTCTATCCAGATGTTCTGTTGAAATAATGGACCAGCCTGTTGCATTAAAGCCCATAGTTTGAATGAGGCATTATAATTATATTATTTTATATTAATGCTATGTTATATTATATAGTGAAATAAATCACCCAACTCACTTCACAGAGTTGTGTGCAGAAAATAGGAGGAGGAGGGAGTATTATACAGTATATGTTATCTGCCTTGAGTTATTTATAAAAATAATAGGTGGAATAAAAATAAATACATACACAAATAAATTACAAATTAATGAATACTAAGAAGTTTAATGGGCTTTGGTCTTCTCCAAATGATCCATTAAAGTGGGATTTTTCTCTAATAAACTTTGCAATGAAAACATTAAGAAAAGAAAGAAATGTTTCTATTTATAAAAGAATTGAAGTTCAACTACTAAGCTAGGGATAGTATGATATCCACTTAGTTCATGTTCACCTAACTCACAGTTTTGACTCCTTATGTGAACTAAAACAATGATATTGACCCAGATTTGCAGTTCCTGAAATGTTAAGATGTACTTCATAGTGTAAAGATATGTTCATTGATTTGTATATTGGTGGAAAGTATGCAGAAAGATGCATACAAGGGTAAATATATACCAACAAATTATGCTTAGAAAAAATATATAAAAATATACATGGGGAGGAAATGCATAGAAATATTTATGCTGTGAGAAATATATGCAAGGTCTTCATGTCAGCTTAAAAAAAATAAAATAACTGGCAAGGAAACAAGATGGAATAAATTTAAGGCCAGAAAAAAAGGAGCACAGCAAAATTGATTTGGCAGATGCACTGTTATGTAGACTAATCTGTCTGCCTAATTTCCATCTCGTATAGCTATGGAGTGTTATATAACTACACGAGGAATGAAATCAGTGGGATGATATTCCCTAGTACACAAGATACACCATTTGGTGGAAAAAAGGAGACCATTGCCAGCATTGTAAAGTGCCTTTGAACATTCCACTGAAAAATTTAATGGGTCAATCCAGGTCCTTTCTGACTCAGATCAGTTTTCATGTCACATTTTATATGAAAATGTCAGATGCGGGCAACATTTACCATTCTGCTTCACCACAACATACAAATTACTGACATACAGTTGCCTGAACTATTTATATTTTATGTTAACAAAAACAAAAATTGGCAACCTGTATTTCTACACCAAGGATACACTGGGAAAAAGCAAGGGTTGTACTAACATCCTTGGGAACCAACTCTTTTATCCTAGTCCATATTTTTCACTTTGTCCTTATTTGCAAAACCTGCTGTTTTACATAATTTATTTGGATCTATAATTCATAGGGGGGGGGGGTCACCAAGGACAATGACCTGTCTGTAATAGATTTTGCCTGCTAACTTTCAGGCACTGTGACCTTACAGATTAGAAACTAGGAGGAAGAGGAGAAGGAGGAAGAAAGGGAAAGCCAGAGATTCTCAAAAGACTAGAAACATTGCCAGTACCATGCTGTGTTTGTTGTGGAATTTGGCAGGTACCCTGCTCTGACGATGATGAGCTCCATATGTTCAGGATTCAGGCACAGACTTGAGAGGAATGAGTTTCTCCTGTCCAGATTGGTTTCTTCTGCTATTTTAACTCAAGACAAATTCAAGAAGATTAGACTAAACCTATTAAAGGCGGCTTCTGAATCTCTCTGAATCAACTCTGGCTGCTGAAGAAGATGCTGATTTGTGTACTGCATGTGAATTTCTGGAAAGCATCTGACTGGTTAGTATGTGGGATGCTAGATAATCCTTAAACATGACCTAACAGGATTCCTTTGTTTTTAAATTGTTATACACTGACATGGGAA